CTGCCGCGTGTGACGTATTCGAGGGGAACGCTGTACTGTGCTCTGATTAGCCGCGAGGCAACGTGAAGGGCGGTCATCGAGATCATTTAGAGTGCCATCAAGTTAAAAAATCTGAAAGATATTTGCGATCTTGCAAATATCGAATATCACAATATTCGAATGGTGTTGTATATAGAGGGATAAAATAAATTGCCACATTATCGAACAACCATAAAGGAGCAAATCCATGATAGTTTAGATCTGACCCAACACATATTTGACTTTTGAATTTTTCGCCCCCAATTGTCCGCTATTCTAATAAAATTCTAAGCAAGGAAAAGCCAGGGTACGACAGCGACAACAGCGCTGCGGCTCCAGTGGAAGACAGTGATTTTGGATGGAAGGACTAATCTGGATCATTATGTTGCCACTGAGAGCGTGAACCTGCGTTCGTGACGACCTCGTGATGTTCACCTTTGAAACCTCCAAGTGATGTTCCCTGGCCTTGTGGACAGACGTCTCATGAATCCTTAATCCAAACCTGCATTAGCCGCCTCGGGATGATGGACCTCTCTTCGAACACTCAGCTGGACCGAACTTACCATAGATGCCAAGTCTTCATTCAGTGCACTATGCCGCTTGATGACGTCCGCATGACGTCATCCGCCTCAATCTTCTGCTGGCCCTTCATTGAGCAAAACAATGGCGGAATTCACGCAATTCTTATTACTTCCTGCACATGGTTGATCGAAAAAATTATTTCGCAAATACCGCTTTTTTATCTACGCTGCCATAAAGTTTTCGTTAGCAAAAGTCCTTTTCTAGATGATTTATCATACTTAAGTAACCGGACTTGTTTTGTAAGGTCAGGTTAACAAATAGAAATTGTAGATTGTTGGGAGGATAGCTGGAGTAGTCAATTGACAAAGACAAGTGGTACGGAACGCAAAAATATGCAACCTTTGGCTTGCCTGCACATGTATCTGTCATTATATATAAAACGTTCGGAATAACAATTTTAACCCAATCGTACCTACTCTTGTCAAACCTGCTGCATGAATAAAGTTATTGAACTGAAACGCTTTCCAGTGCCCCTCGAAAATTTAGTTATAGAATCACTCTTTAGCCAACGCAATCTAAGAACCATGATTATAGGCCTTTTGGCGGTGCCTCAGCTAATGCGACAGCGAAAAGACACCGACAGCGCGGCGTGTGATGAGCCGATTTATAGTCAAGCATATAATTATTATTTTCTAGTCTATGCAAAGATCAAGCATCTAGTAATTATATTTATTTATCTAGCCAATACAATAGTCAAAAATCTAGCAATTGTTATCCAGTCAATTCTAAATACAAGAATCGAGCAATTACTAACTGGGCAATAATTTGTAGCCAAAAAGGGGTTAATATGAAGAGACCCTTTGCAATATCCATATGTCATATTTCTATTGCAATATTTTGGCGAATGCAAGATTCTGTAGGAAACATTTTAAGGGTAAAATGATGCTGATACAATAGAGCAAACTAGAAGGGTCATAACATGTATGTTCTCTTAATACGAAATTATCGTGACGATGTGACAGCAATTTTACAGCCCGAACATTGAAGCCTCACAGAGCCATGTGAGCGAGCTGCAGGATTAAAATAATGCTTAATAAATGTCTTAAACGCGTGGAAATAAAAGACCTCACCAGCAGCTGTATGTGACCTCACCAGCAGCTGTATGTGACCTCACCAGCAGCATTCAAGAGGGCAGCAGATGCACACATGATATTTACATCATACTGTCTTTGATATCGGAATATAAAAATAAGCGCATAAAATATTATTAATGAAATAAAAGTGACATATATGTTGTAGAACCATCATGAGATCATGGTTTGGGGACTGAAGAGTTTCTTGTTATCTTAGGTGTAAACATAAGATTATTTTATCCCTAGAGTATATAACTGTTATATTGTCCTGGTTATAGATATGATAAAATCCTGTTGTAGTTGTTCGAGGCATGACTAAATAATATGTTCATGTATGTATAAGGAAGTACATTCACAGAAGAAACATGGGAAGCAGAAAAGTGTTAGTGAACAGAACGAGTTAACAATGAATTAAATCTGAGGAGACCATGATAATCTTAAAGAAATGAATGGGAATAGTTCACGTCCTACCAAGCATCACTTAATAATGGTTTAAAAAATTGTAATAAAATATAAAAATTATAATTTATTGAACAACTCTACAATCATCAGGAAGCAGAATTCCAAATGTGAGGTGGAGAAGTTACCCTGACTCATATAATTTTGGGTCGAGTAAGGATAACTTTGTTTTATGAATTTGCGCGTGATTTAGAGAAGTTGGATTAACAACAATGAGATTACGATGAAGCGACGGGAAAAGAAGACATCACATGCACCATAAACGTTATTGACTATTAACGCTGCATTGATTATTGATTTGTTTGCACCATAAATGCGATTGACTGATTAACGCTGCTTAATATTGGTTGAAATGCATGATCTACATGACACTACAAAAGCTTAATTTAAGCCCACAAATGTTGATAATATTGAAGAAGAAATTATGTCAGTACCTTGCAGACTAGTGCGCAACTGAAATTATTATTCTTTATTCTTTGTTTAGATTCCATGCATGAAAAGGAATAGAACAGTAATATCGCATGCGCGGAATCAAATTGAAATGGAAGGAGCATGACTGATGCATTCCATTGTGGATGTTTCCATTGAAAACTTGAAAAATTAACTGAAAATTAAAAGTTTTAATCAAACTTTATTCTTGCAAGACAACACCGACGCCAGAATAATATATAGCAAAAGAAAATAATGAGAATAAGTTAAAAATAAATAATAATAATAAAGCAAAGCTTATGGATACACAAGTTAGCTTTGAGAAAAAATTTCAAACTATTACTTTTAACAATAAAGGCCAAAATTGAATATGTATTTGGAATTTTAGAGGCCACGTCAGTTCAAAAGAAGAAAACAAACTAGAAGCACATTATTGCGTGGCAATATTCAACATGGTTCTCTGGTAACAAACAAATTCTATCGAGCTGATTTCCAATCTCATAAATTTTGAATGCATTCACTAAATGATCTGGCCCAGCATCGACCAGGCCGAGCGTGCAGTGTGTTGGACTGCAACCTTGCCCTACTTTTCAAGCTCGCTCTCAGTCCCGTACTTCTGACTAGAACTTAGCTCCCATCTATATAATTTTTTACTCCAACTTCGCTCCCAGCAGCATAAATTCGAGAAAATCTAAATGACGTTGCAATTTCACACCGAAGAACTAGTAGCACGAGACCATGGAGAATTCCTGTTTTGAAGGAAAATTAAAGCTATTGAAGAAAAAAGTGTAGCTCATTAGAAGACGGACAAGTATCAACCTTGATAAGAGTTCACGCATAAGTTGATGCCTCACAAAATGGTAGTAAAACGAGTGGTGCGAATCCATCGATAAACAAGATCATAACAAAGTTTTCAGCGATAACTACTGTAATGGGCGACAGGAAGGTTAATCGACATGCTTGTAGTGCACTGCAAGCTACACGAGCAACATGGTTCACAGCAGCGATCAATAGAACATTATAGTTACCGTGACTACCGTGACAACAGCCGGCCCGTTATCGCTGTTGCTGCTCACCTTGAGTGTGGCAAAGGGAAGAGGTTCGACCCTCCTGCTCATGCCCCTCGTAACACCTCAGCACACCATGCATATACTACTCATTCCACACCATTTGTGTCATCATTCCTATCCAGTCAACTCCATTCCACTCCACTCCAGCTGTTTTAGCGCATTTTCTCATTTATGGAACAAATGCACTATTGTGCTCGCCATGTCCGTCTGTCCGTCCGTCTGTCTGTCCGTCCGTGACCACGTTTTCGTCGACGAGAAAATGCGCTCTCTGTCACTCACTGCAGTGAGTACTGATTTATATTTTTAATAATAACACTGAAATTTGTCACCGTTTGCTAGGGAAGTTAGGCAATTAGCGACCGGAGTTGCATCTTTGCTACAAACAAATAAATATGCTAGTTTGTATATCAGATTCAACAGACAACCTGTTTTGAGTTTTTGATTGGCTCAACACATGGAACGAGAAATCACTTCCACAAAGTAAAGTGGTCCTGGTTCCGAGATTAAGGCATGAAACTTCTACTAAGTAGGCAAAACTACACTTTCTCGGTTACCAAAGGCCCTTGAAAAATTCTCTCTTAAGAAAAATAGATAAGAAAAAGAAAATAGAAACCATATCATTATGAAAAACTTTGGCAAACTATTGGGACTGCTACAAAATGCAAATGAGTTTAAATCATAGAACATCCCCATAAACATTTCTTACTAAGTTGTCTAATATTACTGATGTCACTTATTAACGACGAGGCGCCAACATTTATATTTATCTCCAATAGTTTTCCTAAAGACGTCAAAATGAAATATTTATATCAATGAAACTCGCATCACTAGGCTGGTGCAAGCAAGCATAAAAGTATACGTCAATTTTTCAGATTGCGCTCTGCTATCTGACGACGCCTCCGTGATATCGAATACGTTTTTGATTAAATATTTAGATGGCGAATCTAATGCTCAGTATTTAGTTACTTAATTCGGATCATCACGACATTGTAAATCATCGAAATTCTAGACCAAGTCATGCGAGAGGCTTGATCTTCAAATTTATGACCTAGGTTATTTCTTCCAGTAACCTACCCACAGAATACATCAATGCAATTATCAATAAAATATGTTTACTAGCTATGACCTCATTTTTCCTCATGTTGTTTGTGCCAGAATTTTTTCATCCAGATAAACACAGATTTGGACACAACCCTGATAAAATCAAATCCAATCCTCAACATATATTGGAATTCTTCATCAATTTACGTAAGTACCCTCGTATCAGGCTAATACTCCACCCACCTGCTTTATCTCTGCTGTTGATTTCGATAACGAGACAGACACTTGTAGGCGCGTGCTGATCAGCCTGCTCGGCGAGGTGCAGAGGTCGGCAAGACTAGAGCTATGATGCGCGTGCTTCTGGCCCTCGTGGGCTTGATGGGTTGCTTCGTGACCGAGGCCGTAGGTGAGTTATGTGTCAAGTTCAATAATTATGATGAAACTCGTAAGTTTGTTGGTTCAGTGTAAATTAGGATTTAAATTCTATCGGTTCACATTTGCAGCTCTGTTTCTTATTGTTATGCGTTTGATCGGCTGGCTTCCGTACCAAGTCTCAATTGATGATTGACCGATCGAATCAATCAATATAGGATTGAAGCGACCTCTTTTTCATGGAAAACCTAAGTTCAATTCATTCATAAATACAGGGCGTATTGCTTGCCCTGGAAAAGGCAACACGTGCGATCGAAATAATTTGACGGCTGTGAGGGCGTGGATTTCGCTTATTTATATCATTGTCTGACGTGCTACTATAGATTTGGGTGCACTTAAATAACATAACATAACATAACATAACATAACATAACATAACATAACATAACATAACATAACATAACATAACATAACATAACATAACTAACTGAGGCTTGGAAGCTTCATAATCTTTGATCTTTCTTCATAGGACTTGCCCTTCAAGCCTGGAATTATCCTTGCTGCACGTCTTTGAACATTCTCTATTAAATTATAATATAATAAAGCTCAGCTTCTCGCTTTCCGAACGGAGAGCTTAAGGGCTCATGCAAGTACAAAATACTCATTGAACAATTATTAGCGATGTACGAAGTAATAATCTTAGCAGCTGCTGAAATTTTGAAGCGATCTTTGTTCCAATCATCAGACATGCCCGACTTGCGCTATCTGAAAGCGTATTTCAGCGCGAACTGCACTGGACCTTTTCATGAGTTTTTCGACTACTCGCCAGAACTGAGCATCCAAGGCATAGATAACTCTATCAACAGCATCCTTTTCACTGGCAAGTAAGTTACAGTTTTAGGACTGCCTTCCATTAAATAAATTTTTATTGATTTGTTTCGGGTCCCCATTAGATTTTGCTATGCGCCGTCATGGGATCTCTGTCATATAGATTTTGAAAAAGGTAATGGTTTTGAAACTTTATCATCAGCTTCGGCTGAACATGTAGAGTGCCCAACTTTTCAACTGTGAAGGACGCAAAAGTCTAGAACTGCTTTCGATCCCATTAGCGGGAGATGAAAAAGTTCATCAGTAAAGTTCTTCGAGAAAATGATCAGAAAGAACATAATTTATTGAATTAAAATTTATAAATATACAAAGATAATATATCCGACCCTGAAAATTTAAATTGACGAATTCTCTGGCCATTAACCAAACGTGTTGAAACAATCTTATTCTGCCTTCTGATCCCAAGATAATATATCATGCACCTCTAAATGATTGATGTATGAGTATAGTACAGGAAGCTTCCTCATAGGCTGCTTCATTGAATAAATAAAGATGGTGAGCTTGCGTGTGATGTTTTGAGTGAACTTTGTAACTTCACCTCGATATCTTCAATGTTACTATACCCGATGCCTCGATATAGTCTCAGTACTATGGTAAACCTAAAAATTGCTACAATACTTGCTTAATTTCTTGCATTTTCTTATCATGCTGCCTTTGCCTTATGGATAGCATGAAATTTTTCTGCTCGACAGAAACGAGACGAGAAACCGTCGACAATAAAATACGCGTTTCAATTATTTCCTTCCGCAAATTTTGTGATTTCTGATGAAAGTTTACATCTATAATTAGCACACATTTCCTAAGGATATTTTATGCGTATTCCTGGAAAGTTTTTATGTTCTTATCTATTCTAGCGACACTCACTTCATAGAGTTTATCTTTTAGATGAAGAAACCTGCGATGTAGGTTGCTTGCTTGTGACATTAGAGGTTTTACACAATAAATGATACATTTTATGATTGCAGCATTTGTCCCCCTTCGTGAAGTTTCGATTTTCTTCAATAATAATTGCGTAAGGTCAGGTGGGGTAAGATTGGCTCCATAATAATGTGATGAGTGGTGCTACGGCCAGCTATATGAGTGGTGCTACCTCACCAGTGATGCATGAAGCATTTTGACAACTCATCACTTTATCACACTACAGTACAACAAAACTTTTTCTAACTTGAGACCAATGATGTACTTAAAGGCCAAACTTTCCCCAGCTAGACTTGAATAATGTGTTTTCACTGGTGTGAGACAAAGTTTGTGATAAGATTGTTCCTAACGCTTGTATCAACTGCAACGAAAAATTAAAAGTAGTAATACTGTAAGTTTATAATTTGATATCAAGTAGCCGATTACCCGACACCTGCGTCCTCTCAATGAGGAGAAAGATTGGCAATTAGAAGTCCAAGCGAGTTAGGCAAGTCCATCTAGTGAATAAGCAGGTGGTTGTCCCTCAGCTGGATCCTGTACGCTGACAACTTCTACAACATCGAAGGCTTGGGTGGGACGTACGGTCATTGGTTTGGAGTCAACCATTGCTCCAACCTCGTTTCTCCAATTGCTGGCGCGGTGAGTCCTTGCATGATTGTGTATATACATGTATTTCTGAATCAACTTTAGTAATTGTACGCTCATTTTAATTAATGAAGCGCAGGCCGCAGGACAATTTTAATGTTTTAATTAATAAGTTTTATTTAGAAAGTTGTAGCGCGTGGTAGTTTCAATTGTTAAGAATGTGGCGGCATCTTGGATGATAAATGTTGTCTTATTTTTGAAATACCATATACCATTATATTGTATTATGAATGTTAACCTTCAAATTCAACTGGAGCTCAAAAGCATCGAAATAATATTAGGTAACCTCGATTCAAATTGATATATATGTATAACAAATCAGTTTTTTAATGTTGAATGTTCATACATGAAAGTAAATTTAATTGTACTGAGATTACAATACTTGGTTTTTGCCACACACACGATTATTATGATACAGACATGTGTCTGTCTGATTAGAGTAGGAATTACTATTGTTAATTAGGATGTGATGCGAATAGCTCGATAGGGCAAAGTGGTTGTTCGTTCTGATGGGGGAAAAACCTATATAAGGTCGTTTAGAGTAAAAATCAAAGCGACGCTACGTGGCGGTTGCGAGGTATTTAAAGTAGCGCGGCGTACCGCGAGCAGCGTTGCCAACTGGTATTTATTCGTACCAGATTTCACAAATCTGGTATTTTGAGACGGTGTCTGATATTGATATTTTTTATGTGGTATTATAGCCTAAATCTGGTATATTTCTGGTATTTTTGGACTTTTTGCGAATCAACTGCATTAATTTCCACCTTTGATGTTTGAACTTCCCCCAGCGTGAGAGTGAATTTTATAGATTACTTTTCGAACGGCGTTAATAGACTTTTCCCGCCATTTTTAAAACCGCGAGATTACCGCTTGATGAAATAACTTCAATCTAAATGTTAACATTCAACAAAAGTGCTTAGTGCAGCAAGTGCACGAGAGTGATGGTTCATGATTGCTTACTGATCAGGGATTATATGGTCTTTGACTAATAAGGTTGTCGAACCAAGGCCTGCAACGCGAGCTCATGAGTTTCTGTTCGGTGGTTTTGAAAGTAGATGGTGAGTTGCCTGTTACCACACTCTTGTGAAATTTTATCCCTAGTTATCCACGCTAATCCAATTTATTTATTTGTTCCACTTCCTTTTGTAGATTTTATTCACAAATGCAATGAATATGAAATATAGACGTGAAAGACTTCCGTAAGCAATATTTAGAATAATAAATCTTGCAACATTACAATAACTACAAACGTCGCAAGGACAAGTCTGAAGAAAATATTATGGAAGGTTTGAATTTAATTCTAAACATAAGCCGCGAAAACATATATACTTTTTCGCTTTTTCTGTTTCCTAGGTTTCTTCTCCTATCTGATCCAACCTGCCATGGCTCCCAAAAAATCGTACGATGCATCACGCAAATACCAAACGGAATGGGAGACCCAGTCTCACATTCCGCAAAATTCGTCAAGACGGAAATATGCACTGTAAAAACGATAAAAATTACTTATATTTTTTTAACCAATGTTTCTGCCGTATAGTTTCGTCAAATTTGAAGGTGTTAATAGGTAATAAAATTTCTGGTATTTTGAGCTAGGCAATCTGGTATTCTCGACGAGAAAAATAGTTGGCGAGACTGCCGAACCGCGAGAGCGAGTTAAGTCTCTAGACTAGTCTCAAGCGTATGTCTCGCGCGAGCTAGCAAGTTGAATAGGCGGCCGGCGTATTTCCAAGGTGAAGAGTAGTGTTTTTAGAAGCGGAAGTACGATGTTTTGCGGCAGTTGAGCTACTCATCGGAACAATCACGTTATCTACCCGATTTATCAAGACAACGCGTAGGCTAAGAGACGTCCAACGAATATAACGCCGGCAGATCACAAGATTAAAATTATCTAGCGCAGAGCAACAATTATCATCGGTACGGTCATCAACACGATACGGTCGCAGTCATCGTCAGTAGGGTACGGTCAGGATCATCAGCAGCACGAACAGCAGCTAGCAGGAGCACGCATGAGCATCTTCGACGAGGAACGCAGCAGCAGGAGCACGAGGATCATCGACGAGGCACACAGCAGCAGGAGCACGAGGATCATCGACGTGGAACACAGCAGCAGGAGCACGAGGATCATCGACGAGGCACACAGCAGCAGGAGCACGAGGATCATCGACGTGGAACACAGCAGCAGAAGCACGAGGATCATCGACGTGGAACACAGCAGCAGGAGCACGAGGATCATCGACGTGGAAGTCTTCACCACTAGCTGGAGTACGGGTCGTCATAAGTTCAGCGATTGGACCGGCCGTGAGAGGGAAAACCAGAGCGGGAATCACGGTGAAAACGCGAAGACAGTAACGGCGGCATCTCCGTCACAAAGCCGTTGATGTACTCGTTAGGAATCTAATGGAGGTAGAGCCGTTATTTGCTGAAAACTTTTGACTTCTGCATATTGATCGATTTTGTAGGAGACGATAGCCCGTTTATTAGGCCAGAACGTTCCAAATTTACCTAGACCTCTAGATGATTCATTATGCCCGTGTGGTAATGTCTTACGCAACAGTAATCCAGCTCTGAAATGGGTGTATGGTTTTCCATAATATAGGACGCTTTTAAATTATCGATGTGTCATTTATTTTTAGCCTCCTTGTCATTTCGTCATTTGCCACAATAGAGAATCGTCTACGCGCATAGGATAAATCACTGCGGAATGTCATTAGATATCAAGAACATAACGTAACATAAAACCTGATGGGATGAGGGTTTCTGATTGATCATCTTAAAAAGTTCGCCGTCCGCAATTAAACTGAATATGATAGAAACTCGTCAAGGATTAAATAAATAGATTCTTTACCTTGGGTTTCAGGTTTACCTGACGCCTTGTCAGGTTTGGCTAAGCCATTGAAGAGATACAATTCTAGCAGATACATTATCTCAAAACGATGTACTTCAGTAATGAAACATTTGTAAAGCCTATATAATAATTGAGAAGCCTTTTGTTAACTTGAGGCCTCATTTCCGCAGGCATCTTCACTGCGGTACGCCGGCAGTCCGTACGGCATCGACGACGTGTACTACAACCTGTACGACGGCTTGGGCTATGCAGGGGATGAGTTCAGGAGCAACACGGACGCAGAGACCGTTGGTTACATGGACATGAGGACGACTTCTATTAACATAAATGGACAGTCCCCGTGGACTTTCTACACGTGCGTGATGCAGAAGCAGCAATCGTCACCATCTTCTAGAATGAAATGCCGCATAAAACTGTTTCTCAAAATGAAGTTTCATTATTGCCGGTTTTCAGGCATTTTCCGAACTAAAGTTCTTGTATTATAATTTATTATAGATGTTCAATGCAAGTTTTGATTTAAAGTGATTAGGTGGGAGCCTTTAATTTAAACGCAAATGACAAAGCTTTAGTAGATAACGGCTACTTATCTTGAATATCAGCATCGTCACCAAGTGAAGTGTTCATCACTCAGTGACGACAGCATTGTGAAGGCAGGTCAGATATGCTCATGCATGGCAAAGTCTTTCATTGTGAACTTACGAGAATTTCAAAGCAATCATCTATATTAAAATCAAAGATTACGATACAATTTTTGGTGTGCACAATCATCAAACTATTGCTGTCAAGGCGTAAGGACTTCGAAGAGACACAGTTGTCCCGCTGCATGCACTTCTCACTAATCGCTAAGAAATTTAATTATGTTCGATTTTTCTGGCAGAGGTCTCCAGTTCACAGGGGAGGCGGTGTGCCTGTACCCAAATTATGTCGTGGCGGACAAAAATATTCAATTGAGATATGCAGGCGTTAATACGGTGAGTTATTCTTTTAAAATGCACCTAGTTGGAAAATCGAGAAATTACTAGAGATATTGTTTAGATGTTTTTTATTTTTTCCTAGTTTCTGTTAAATTTCTAACCAAAAATGGTGTGACAGTAACGACGCTTTAGAACTTACATCCAAACGGTGTTCAGCTCGGCGATGCCGAGTGACTAAGATACCAAGAATAGAGTAGCGAGTTGTGGAATCGAAAGCCACAAATATGTAGTTGTCAAAATTCTGGTCGAGATTGACAATGTGGCCGCGTGACTAAGAATCTGCAATGGGCAAACTTTACCTTTTGTAATTGTTATTGAATTATAATATGGTATTTAAAATTTTAATTATAGAAATGAAATATTCAGTATGCAGCATTCACTTATTTTGAACTTGGATGAACTCTTGCAGTATAAGTTGTGTATGTTGATTTCGTAAGTTTCATGGCAGGTGGTATCATTCAGTAACCTCCTAGTTTCAGTTTTTGAACTTGCATGCAGTACATATAATTTGTGTATGTTAATTTCGTAGTTTCATCTCAGGTGGTATAATTTATGATACTTCTATTTTCAAGGTAGGTGGGATCATTTAGGGTGCTTCTACTTTCAAGGCAGGTGGGAACATTTAGGATCCTTTTAAACCACGTCAGGTCTTGCCGGACTCGGACTGTGTTAGAACTAGTAAGATTCTCATATATAACTGAGATCTCGAACGCTTCACGGATGCACATTAACATAACTTCATGCAAAGGTTTTCCTTATGTTACTGAGTGCTTTTTTTCCCCTCAGGTGACATACTTGGGCATCCCGGACAACTCGATCAGGTCGGTGGCCAAAGGCTGCCTCACCGACAACGTCTACAGGGGCGCCCGGTCGTCCGTGGGACATGGAGGTGCTGAGCCCCTGGAGCATTTCAACCTGGAGCATACCAATCTGGAGGATAACAACTTGGAGCATTCTAACGTGGGGGATGACAAATTGGAGCATACCGACCTGGAGCTTAACAACCTGGAGCATACCAACCTGGAGGATTCCAACATGAAGCGTTCCAACATGAAGCGTTCCAACATGGAGCATTCCAACCTGGAGCATTCCAACCTGGAGCATGATAACCTGGAGCATACCAACATGGAGCGCCACGAGCTGGAGCAAGAAGACGGAGTATAAGCTGGGATGACGTGGCGATGTGTTGTGCAGTGTTTCTTAACCTTGTTCAGACGGCGCTCCTATGAACACTAAAATTTTTCTAAACGTAACTCACTTCAAAATAATTCCGTAGCAAGAGCGCGCGACGTATGTGAGTACCTCAGTTTGTATATGAGGAAGTATCCAATTTTTAGAAATATTTATTTCTGGATATTGTTAGATATTTTCATTGAAAACTAATATGCTACTAGATTATTATTCGCGATAAACCGAACAACGATGAGTCATTTTAGGCTTGATGGTGATGGCACTCTCATTACAAGTTATTGACGGCATGAAAGAATATTCTCCTGAACAATTAAAATTGTAAAGTTGATACCTACTTAGTACTTAAATTCGCGAGCTACAACATTGAGAGACATATTCTTTCCGTAATTCAAATATCTATCGAAACCAGAATGTTCCCTTACCCCCTACATTTTAATTTCAATATCAATAAACTCAACCCTCTTACATCCCACGATGTCTTATACAATGTGCTCAAGCAGCGTCTTCCATTAAGGTGCGACTTGGCGTCAGGGACCCAACCTCAAACT